ACTGTCCCAATGTCTAAGCTCTAATACCACTTTTATATAGAAGGCTGCTATTGGAATTTTCAGTGAAGTAAATTTCTTTACAATGTGCCTTTGAGTTATGGTTTATAACTGGATTCATATAAATAAATGCTTTCAGCCGAATGGTGTTGAACTAATTCCATTTTGAAGTCATTAATTATATTTAGCTCACTGAAAAAAGGAGGGGGAAAGCATCAACTAACCCTATATAAAAAGTGACAACAGAATTGTTTTGTGAAGAGGCTTTGGGCCTCTTAAGCTACGAATAGTGAGTGGTTTGCTGGTTGTTGTTTTAATCAAAGAAGTGTGAACAGAAGCTAGATAATGCACTGCTGTACTGCAAAGACAATTCATTTTGAACAGACATTAATACACTTAATGCTTTTTGCTTTTATCATGTTAAGGTCTTTGCAATAAAATCAGGCTATGCAGTGAGCCTGCTAGTTTGTACAGAGAAAGAAACAACCTTGGTTTTTAATCATAAATTCATTAACTCTTGTCAGATTGGTAACTTTTCAAGGTAAATTTCTTCTGATGTGTGTTCAATTGAAAAATTGGTTTCCTACGTTCAAACAACTTAATGTAAGAAAAAACTTAAAACTTCTTATAGTGTATCTATATTGTGTGAAGCTTATGATAAAGTGCTAACTGGTCATCAAAACTAAAATCTAGATGTAACCAAAACACAGTGGATTTTAATGCAGTTTGTGTGAGCCTGCTTGTTACACCCTATTAATGGGATTTTGTCTTTTCAGGAGCTTGAGAGAGGGCATAACACACCTAAGCATTGCTGATTGCAGCTCCCCAAAGAGAGCTCAGGGAATCAGTAGTGTATATATTTTTAGACTGGAGCATGGTACTTCTGCCACTTCCATCTTTCTCCTTCCATTTTGGCTCTTCCATTTAGGTGGATGTAAGAATTTTCCTGCTTGGGGTCCCTGTTGCCCTGGGATCACATAGGCTGCATGCAGAACTGTCATCCTGCTGAAGTGCTGTGTAATTGCCTGATCCTCTTACCTTTGCTGTCTAGTTTCTCATTTCTTTCATTTCATTACTTTCATTTCTTCTCCTTCATGTTAACGTTCTTCATCTCTAATTCACTTTCTTGTGTTCTTCTTTCACCCTCCTTTGAAAGCAAACTGCCAGTGCCTTATTTAATCTCTTTATCAGTGTCGTGAGGGGTAACAACACAACTGTGCATTTTAGGCCCTTTGTAGCCAACTGTTTGAGATCATTGTGAAGGAATGAAAGACAGAGCCCTCCAGGACACCTCCGTGCTGTGCCATTCCAGCACTGCATGCTCAGTTCTTCAAGAGATCTTGGTTCCTTTAGTGGCCTTCTGGAATAGTTCCAGGCATACCAGAGGGCTGTGACAACTGGAAGAAACCATCTCTTGAGGTGGGCTTTAGTTGTTTTTCAATCCACCAAAATTCCCATCTGGTCTGTTAAAGCTGTGCCCCCTGCCCCCCACCCCAGAACATTTTGGGTTTCATCAGCCCCTCGTGGCACTCTGTGCCAGGGCACCGGCAGGTGAACATTGGCACGCTCAGGAAACCGAAATTGTTCTGGGTTTTGGTTTACTTGAGGAGCAACTGCTTCTCTCAGATTTGCTCTGTTGGAGGAAGGAGATGTGACATTACCATGCCAAGCTGCTGCAGCATCTGCAGGGTTCAGTTGTGTATCCTGAGCTCTCCGAACTCGTGCAAACTGTTCTGGTTACCAACGTGATTAACGAGAAATCAACCACAGGCTGCGTGTGAGGAACCTGTCAATGAAACCTCTGCCTTGCATGTAGATTGCCTAGGAAAGCTGAGTTGATGAAAATGAACCAGCATGAAGCAAGAAAGCTGTCTGGAGTTACTCTTAAACAAGTTATTTTACAAAACACAGCAGTCACCGTCTAAATCACGTATGAGGTGTGCAAAACCAGAATTACAGTCAAGTGAGCTGGCCAACAAGTTTTGGAACTAAATAGTAGGGAGCAAGGAAAATGCAAAAGAAGATACAGTTTTGTACTTCCATTAAAGATCCATCTTTTTATCTGCATTTATTACATATTATGTTTTGTGTGTATGATGTCCTCATCCAAAAGCATGGTTCCTCAGCTCTGCTGTAGTGACAGTGGTGAACAAGTTATCCATCTATCCTTCCTCCTGACTGCATCTTCAAGAGGAGAACCCAGTGCTGATCTGTTTGTTAACACAGGGAGCCAGTAGATGTTATTTCTGGTGTATCAGGTTGCTCAGAACAGTGGTTTCCAAACTCATGCATGCCCATCATTAAACAATAAATAAATTTGAGTGTGCACCCCAATGTATGTATTTTTTTATAAATTGTATACATGTGCTACTGTAGTAATGTTAGGTACGTTATAAAACATGCGCAAAAATAGAAATGAAAAAAGAGTGAGATAGAGATGATGATTTTTGAGGTATGTGTGCTAGAAGCATGGTTGACCTTGATTATTTGTAAGAGGCTGTACCTTTATATTCACTGCTTAACTCTTTCTGTAAGAGTGAATGGAAGCTGAAGTAGGGAAGTTCCTAAGGATGGCTGTAAGTGGACTGTAAAATCACTACATCTAAAAAAATCTGGTATATCAGTTGATTTTTCATTAATTTATTGCATTTACTTGACAAACTACTTGATAACATGTTTTTTCCACTCATCCATAAGAGAAGCATAATTCATGCTGGAAAATGCTTTCATTTTTAAATTACACACTTTATAGTGTGTTTCCTCTGCCCTCCCCTCTGCCTTTGTTCAGCTCTGGCTTTTGGAAAGGGGGATAGCTGATTCTCAGCTATCATTTAAAAACATTCCTGGTGGTTTTAATCATGGATACAGCTTGTAAATATATTGTGCTTGTATGCATCTAACACATGGCTTATCTAATCTCTGAAACAAAGGACTCTCCAGACTCAGTGCAGAAACTACCTGTGGGTGATGCAGGGAAAGCGGATCCTCCCAGCTGCGTCATTCCTTTGTGCTTCCCTGGCCCTCTGACGGCTCCATCCCTGCTGTCCCTCCCAGAGCTGCCCTGTGCAATGTGTCTCATGTCCCTCATGATTCAGGGCCCCATTGGAAGCCAAAGTGTGACTCTGGTTTCTCTGTCAGTGCTTGTGAAAGCTCAGAGATGGAAACACCTTTGTCACCCGCTCGGATGTGAAACCTGAGTGGGCTGCTGACAGAAACCTGTCACAACTTTTTGTGCTTCATCACTGCTTCCCCAGAGCTTCACTGCTGATCAGCTAAACCTTTCAATTCCAACAATTCTTTGGCCTCTTTCCCCTTCCCTCTCTTTCTCAGTTTCCAGAAGACCTCCAAGAAGAGCTTTGCCATGAACTATTAAGCTGTTTGCTGCCTGACACAGAATTAACTGGTTTTGTATTGGTATCTTGCTTCAGTTGAATGTGGTGATGGAGTGTTTTTATCTGTTGTATTTGACACCTGAAAGTGCCCAAGATAAACTGAAACCCAGATAGAACAACTCAAAAATATTTGTTAAAAATGTTACGACTTTGTGTCTGTGTGTATGCTCGCTTCTTTCTTGTTTTGTGCCTTTTTTTTATTGAATACTCAAGGGTTGGCAGTGCTGTGAAGTAGAACAGTGAAACATAAATATTAATTGTGGTAGAAATATTGTCTAGAATCTCATCCTTGTTTTACTTGAAAATAATACTCAATTGTCTTGGCCGTGCTGGAACAAAGACAAGACCTAAGGGATGTGCATTTGTTTGGCTGCAACTTTATTAACACATTTGGGAACGTTGCCCGGCAATAAATCATATAGTGTGAGTCATTGCTTATTCCTTGATCATTCCTACCTCTCTGGGAGAGCTGCTGCCAGCCTTCCCCCTGCCAGCCTGGCACCCCCAACTGTAGGGCCACCTCCTTGGGCCCCAGGGGGAGGCTGCTGAAAGGGCAGGGTCGTTCCCCCACTGCACCAGATGGTGGGAGCTGCAACTGCTTCTTCACAGCTTTCTCAGAGAGCCACTGCTGCCCTGCCTTGTTTGGTGTTGGTTGTTTTTTTTTCCCCTCTCTGGCAGTGTGAAAAACCGTGGGAATGTATTTAAGTCGGGTACCACCTAGGAGTGGCAAGCCCTGTACCTTCCCACTGCTCTCCTGGGTAACACCTCATTTCAGAGGATCGCTGGCATAGATAAGGGGCTGGTAATCCTCTGTTTGCATAGGCTCAATTAAACTGCTTTCTTCAGTTTGGGGAAGACTGGAAATTTTAAGGGCAAAGTTGAAAATCACAGCGCAGTTGATAGTGAGTGTTTTCCAACTCCTCTCACTCAGGCACCACACACGTAAGAGCTCTGTCTGCCCTGTTAGTCTGGATTATGACTGGAGTTTCTGCCTCCAGCAGGTACTTGCCTCTTTCCTGCTGCCTCCACTTGCAATGTAAAAGTATATTGGTCAAAAATTCCCTAATTGTGAAGCTCAGTGAGACAAGCCTAAAACAGCTGAATGGTTTAAAAAGTTGGTATTGCTGCCTCACTGGGAGGATTCAAAGCTGCATCATCACTAAAATGCTACTTTAGTGCCCTACTAGTATATATTCTAAAAGTTTAATAGTTTAATTTAGCAGTGGCACATCTAGTTTGTTAGAGCAAGGACACTTCTCCCTTCTCTCACATAAAAACATGATTCCAAATGCTTGAAAGGTGCAGTGTTGTAATGGTTGTATTTGCTCTGGAAAGCCTTCCTTTCTTTTCTGTGTGAAGATGGTGAGTCCCCTGGGTGGCACTAAGATGTGAGCAGGCTGGACCCACTGAAGCCTCGTGCTGGCCCAGTTCCAGCTGTAGGACTGTGTGAGGGTGTGAGGGAAGCCCTGGTGGAGGCTCAGCTCTGGATTGTCCGCTCTGGGACAGAGGGGAGCGGGAGCAGAGGGACCCTCCTCCCTCACGGAACACTGCAAAATGTGGAGTTCAGGACGTGCTTCAGGAAAGTCATGGTGTTGATTAGTTGGCTGGTCATGAAATCATAGGCCGTTTATTTTTCTAAATGAACTTAATGACAATATTTGTGCGTGCTGATTTTGAGTGTCATTCGTGTTGCAACAGCTTTTCATGGATTAATTACACCACCTGTATGCAAACAAAAGACAAACAAAGATGAAGTTCACCTGAGTTTTGACTGAGAAACTAAAAAATTACAGTCTGTTGGCTGTGTTTGCTCAGATCTTTGCCTTACAGTGAGATGGTCGTGTTGTTACATTGGAAGCGAAGCAAGTGAATTCACTGGTGCACAGCAACAGTGACAAATCCATTTTCCAGTCCTGGATTATGGCCTTAAAATCAAAGGCAGTAATTATTATTTAGTTCCTGTAATCAGTAAGCTCTTAAGTTTCAAAGAAAACTCAAAGTATTTGGTATGTAGGCTCAGCAATAACTTGTGACAGAAGTTCAGCTGTTGTTTGGAAGCACATTTCAGCTCCTATTTTCAGGAACCATTTTTCAGTGGCTCTTGAAATATGTAATTGCAGACTTAGTAAAAACTTCCTCTTGTTTGTTTTTCAATATTGACTGTTTCAATTTATGTGTATTTTAAAATGAGATGAGCTTAAAAGGTTTTCAGCTTTTGGGTTAAGTAAATCGTGTGATGGTGAAGACTGTAGAAGTGTCAGGTTATATCCTGTACTATTTGAAGAAACAGCTAAAATTTGTGGTTTAGTCTCTTCCCAGTTTACCCTCTTTAGTCAGTGTAGACAGAACAAGTAATGTTTAGTCCTCTTGCTATTCTATTTCTGGTCATCCTAGGATGAAATTTGTTTTATTTAATTTGTTTTATACACGAGTTTTGTACTTAGATATCATACTGGTTTATGAATCCTAGAAAACAAAGTTATCTGTGGACTTTATTCTACATTCTAAGCACAAGGCACTGTATAAACACAGGAAAAATACATTATCTACCCTGTTGAGCTTACATCTGAAAATGTAGGAAAATCAACATGCCTTTTGTAGAACTCTCTTTGCATTCTCCAGCAACTTGTAAATGTATATTTGTGAAAAACAGGGTCTCCACCATTAAAATCTTTGTTCTAGATCTACTAAATGTTTCAGGATTTCTCCAGGGAAATCTTGTCAAGATAGCACATATAAATTGTGCTGAAAACCGACGGTGCCATTTCATTCCAAGTAAAAATAAATGTAGGAGATGCCCTACATTGTATGAAATCCTTATGCTGTGTGGCTAAGAAGTACACATTCCTAAAAAATAACCTTGTGGAATTCAGTAAACTTGGCTTTCTGGAATTGTATGTAGATTCTATCATCGCTTCTGGAATGCACTCTTTCCTTGGGCCAGGGTTGCCAGACAGAGCTCTCTGACAATCTCTTTATCTGCAGGGTTGTCTATAATGTTAATTAGTGAACTCTTTGAAAAACCGGCTTCCATGAGTTAATTTATGCATAAAACATCACTGAGGGATGTTTTACCTGTTTGCCAAGGAGGGGACTGAAGTATAGCTTGAGGGACGTGGCTTGGGCCACACAAGAAGCCTGTGTTGTAGCCAGGAATCAACAGATTCACACTTCAGTGCCTCACCACACAAATTCAGAAAATAAGGAGGTGAACAAAAGCAGATGCAACCCTGAAGATTTGAGCCTTGGGTACAATTTGCAGGATGCTGAACTCTCTGCCCATGAAGTTGGAAGGATGTGCTTTGGAAGGTCCGTGATGCTTGTGCATTCATAAAACCACAGAATGGTTTGAGTTGGAAGGGATGTTAAAATCATGTTTTTCCGACCCCCCTGCCATGGGCAGGGACACCTTCCACTAGCCCAGGTTGCTCCAAGCCCCGTCCAACCTGGCCTTGGACACTTCCAGGGCTGGGGCAGCCACAGCTTCTCTGGGCAACCTGAGCCAGGGCCTCACCACCCTCACAGGGAAGAAATTCTTCCTAATGTATAATCTAAACCTGCCCTCGTTCAGTTTGAAGCCATTCCCCCTTATCCTTGTCCCAGGTCCCTCTCCAGCTCTCCTGGAGCCCCTTTGGCCACTGGAAGGGGCTCTCAGGTCTCCCTGGAGCCTTCTCTTCTCCAGGTGAACCCCCCAGCTCTCCCAGCCTGGCTCCAGAGCAGAGGGGCTCCAGCCCTTGGAACATCTCCCTGGCCTCCTCTGGACTCGCTCCAGCAGCTCCACGTCCTTCTTATACAAGAGGCCCCAGAGCTGGGCTGCACAGCACAGCTTGGTGTTGTTGGCAAACTTGCTGAGGGTGCACTCAGTCCCACTCTGTACTGAGCCAACAAAAATTCCCAGCAGTTTGAGTGCAAACTGCCAGGCTGGCTGCAGACATGTCAGTGCTCTTCAGTGCTGAGCCAGATAGTTCAGGATTTTCACTTTCTATTGACACTTTTTTTTTTTAACTCACTGATACAGCTTCATAATAATTATTATTTAGGGCTGATGCCCTGGCCAAGAGGACTGAGGAAACAGAATGTCAGTGTTAACTCTTTCTGGAGATTTTTAGATTGTCAGCCCAATGTCTCAAAATCATAAGGCAGGAGCAAAAATCCTGAGGTTGGTATTTCAACTTGAAAGCTTTCTTTGGGGATTCTTGCTTTCTTTAGGTTTGTGTTTGTTTTTTGAATATGTGCTCTCTAATCTAGTGAGGACATAATGAGCTCTTGAGACATAATAAGCTCAGTAAGACTTGAAACACTATTTACCGCTTGAAGTATTTACGTGGCTTCTGTTCCTATTCATGTATCCAAGCGCAATATGGTATTTAATAGATCCTCACAGATAGGAAGCCTCTAATCCCGGTGTTCTGCAGGTATGAACTGAATTACAGAAAGGCATGTGCCCAGCTCCATGAAGTTATTTAATCCTTTAGCTGCTGGTGTTTGCAGTGAGCCCGACACATCTCCCAGAAGCTGGACACGCTGTAACTGTGCTAGTTCTGGGGCTTGCCCTGGCTCACACGCCGTGCTTGTCACAGCACAGGGACTTCGAGTCCCAGCTTTTCAATCCCGTGGTACCAATCCTGAGTTAGCCTGAGAGGAAGAAATGTTTCCCATATGCTTCTGAAAGAAGGCAGGAAAGTTCAGGCTAGAAGGAAAGGACAGGTTGTAACTGTGAGGAAAACAAGCTGTTGGAACAACTTCTTTTAGAACTGGGATGTGTTTTCTATCACTTGATGGCTCTATGTGCATAATAATGGCACTTCAGAAGAAGTGCCTTCTGTATCACTGGTGTGGATAGGCATCATGCAAAACCCACTGGTGACATCCCATCATCTCTGTCACACACAAGGGGAGATTGGATTATAACCTCTCCTACCAGCCTTACACTTCTTTTTATGTAAATTTTCCTTGAACCGATTCCATCATGCTGATGCTGGGAGCAGCATGTTCACAGAATTTCTTTCAGTCCTGATCCTATGATATTTTTATCATGCAGTTTTATGGTCAGAAATTTTGGAATTGGGAATACGAGGAAGGAGAGTGGGATAGGGAAGGAGAGTGGGATACAGTCTGTCCCTTAATGTTATACAACTACATTAACACATTGGTCAACTATCCTTCCACAGTGCAATTACTTTTGCACATACAGAAGACGCCTCCCTGTAAATTCCTTGTGACATAAGGTTTCTGGCTAAAATTAGGTCATGGCTATTTAATTGTTTAGGTGTCCACCCACGAGGGAGCTACAGAGAGCTCTTTCAATTCCTTGCAATCAAGTAAGTAGCAGTTACTCTGCTTTATCCTCTAAGGAAATAGTCCACCAAAAATAATATGTTGATTCTTTAGTCCCTCCCTGTCACTAATCACTCAGCTCTGGTAGCTGCACACTGACTTGGCCCTCAGCACCAGAGTGTCCAAGTGCCTCAGTCATTAATTTTCAACTTACGACACGTTGGTGATGTAAGGAAGCGTTGTCCTCATTTCACAGCTGAGGAATTGACACATCAAATAAGTGACTTGCTTCAAGTTTCACAGCAATACTGGCTGTAGAAACCAATGACTTATTCACAGACTATTCTGTTTCTTGGAAAACTAACCCTGCGTTCCTTGTCCTTCTGCCTGCTACCCCAGATCTCCTCATACCAATCCAGCAGCCCGAGAGTTGAGCTCTGTGTATTTTTGTCTCCCCTAAGCTGGCATTGCCAAACAAATGCACCCCTCCCTTGTGTGAGCACCAGCAGCATCTCTGCAGTCACATGGGGAGTTAAGTCAGGAAACCAATTCAGGTTAAAGTTAATCCCCCAAAGAACAGTTTCAACCCGAGTTACTCCTCATTGGGCCCTTGCAGTGAGAGCTGTGCAGGCACTGGGGAAGGAGGGGAGGTCACTGACTGGGGGTTTGTGCTGGCTGAAATGCTTGTGGAGTTAGTTCATCAGGACCTTAACCAAAATAAGTTCTAGTTTCTCCTTTCTTTGGAGTGCAGATTGTGTGCTTGGAGTTTTCCCCGTGTCTGCAGAGCCCACCCAGAATACAGTGATGTGGTGGCTGAGGAGCTCAGGGGAGGCTTTGGATCAGTTCTTACTGTGGGGATGTTTTAGATCTTCCTTGCATGGCACGTTCTTCTTGTGTGGCTGATGCCATTAAAAATGCTCGACTCTATATCATCTTTTTCTGTTTGAAATGAAAGTGTTTCTGAGCAGTTACAAATGCAGCCAGAGAGGAGCATGGTTGCCAGGATAGGTATGTTTGTAAAGGGAATCTTTACAATGCTGTGAGTGAGGAGCTCAGTGCCACATCTCACCTTGCTGGCCTATGTGAGCACACATTACTCTGCCTTTCTGCCTTGAGTGGTTCCTTGGAAAAGACCAGTTGGAATTGTGTGCATGTTTTTTTATCTTTAGGTGGAGTATCATCTCCAGGAGGTTTCTACCATGACTTTCCATGTGCCAGTCAGACACATGGGGAGAACCCTGCTGTGCTGACCCCTCTCTCTAAGGAGGTGTTCAGAGGGCTCCCAAACTGCTGTTCTGGGGTGAGCTGTCAGCTTTCAGAGCAGAGTATGTACCCAATCCTTCACTTCACTTGAAGGGCTGCAGCGTAGGAGAGCCTGTAAGTGTGGAGTGATGCCCTCATCCCAACTACATCAGAAGTCCACAAAAATTTACACAGGACCTTGGCACGCTAATAACTTGGTTGTGGGTGACTAAGGCAGGAAGAAGGGTGCCAATGACATTTAAAAAGAGACTGAAAGAAGGAGTTCTCATACCTAAAAAAATGCTGCAGAAGAGAGCAAAACATCTTTTAATGACTGCTGTTAACATTTTTAACATGAGGATGATAACCTGAACTGCCCCATAACTCCTGAAAATCTTTTTTGGTGTCGTTGTTGCTGAACCCTCTCCCCAGCTTTTCTGCTTGTTTGTCTTGTGGCTGGAGCGTGAGGCCTGCCTGCGAGAGTTAGAGAGTGTTACAGATGATCCTCAGTGCCATAAACTTGTGTTGCAAAAAAACTCTGGCCTGTGTCAGCCGCAGCCACAGTCCCTCTTCCAACCCAGCCACCTCAGAAGCCTCAAAAGAAGCATGTGGGATTGTTGTATTCATTTTTTTTTGTTCAGACCTTGCTCAAAGGCTCAAGATTATGACATAAATCAGCTTGGTTTTCCTCCTCAACTGAATACAGATCATAACATTAGAGCACAGCCACTTTGTGTAGTAGGAACCTAACAAAAACCAGATTTTAACAGAGTCACTAGTTCCTTTGAAGGAGGCAGTGTTAGCAATTATGATCTAGACTAGACGTTGGTAAGAACCTACCAAATAATTATAGGCTTCCCAAAGTAGTATAGTATGAGTAATTGCAGGTTTAAAAATGTTATTATGAGGAGTAGTTTATACCGAAACTCCATCCTGCTCTTTGAAACCAGAATCCATAACTCTCATCATGCCACAGCAAATGCTTGTCCTTTTCCACAGAAGAATGTAGACTTGCTTTATTGTACAGCAAATGTTCTGTGGTACATTATTTAAATTAGCATATAATAGAAACCTAATTGCCCACTAGGGCCCAAAGCTTTAGCTGGTGAAGATCAATGTGCTTCCACTGAAGTCAGTGTAGCAATGTTGATTTTCACCCCTTGAGGATCTGGCTCAGCAGCTTGTTCCTATTCCAGGCATTGTTAAAGGAGATAGTGTGTTTAGAATATTAAACCATGGCATTGTCAGAGATAGTCAACTCAATTTCTGTGCAAGTGAAGAGAAATAAAGCGGTAAAACCATTATTTTTATTCTGAGGATTTCAATTTACATTGTCGATTATTCATATTGACTGATCTGCTCCAACAGGGAAATCATGAGCGTGGGGTCATCTTGTTGTGGTTTTAATTTCCTACGTCTGTAGTTATCTAATCCTCTCAGTGTGAGCAAGCACGATTAGTATTTATTTCTATTCTGTGTGCCAGTGCCCTGGGCCAGGTTCTGTGCTAAATCCAAAGTGACTCTCCTACTTAATTGGCATTAACTTGTGCTGCAATAATATAAGTAAAAACTTGTACTTTCGGTGTAAAGCACCCACAACTCCCCAAACAGATTTATTCTGTGTAGATCTTCTGCCCCGTGTTAAGGCTTGTGATAAATCTGTTGGTATTTCTTGCTCAGTTTGGAACTTTTTCTAGCAATGTTTTCCAAATAATACTTTGGGAAACACAAGTTTGGAAAGAATTTGTCTGCTTGTTAATCGCTGAGACCCTACCAGGAGCGTTGGTACAGCGGTACCACTGGCTAATAAATGACTACAGTAGGAACAACAGCTGCCTCTCTCTCTGGAGAGTCAAGTACCAAAACGAACAATAATTCTTCACTTTGTCAGATGGTTTTTACAATCATTTGGAATGCTTGCTTAAAGAAGCTTATTTTACTTAATGAATGCTCCATTCAGGAATAGGGAAACTTCAGGGCTGAGCTGAGCCAACAGTTCTTTGTGGAGTTTGTTTCCTCTCCTTTCACTTCCATTATTCTCAGAAGACCTCTGGCTGTTCCCCATGTATCTCTGCTTCCATTTGTCCCCTGGGAGCTTTGGATAATCAAGTTATGCTGCAAGTGTTCTCCAGAGTGTAGGAGTAGGGGAGTTCTGGTTAAATGTTTTGGGGCTTTGTCAAGGGCAGTATAGAAACTGTGTGTGAGCCTTTTAAAATAGTACAGTGTTAAAACTTTGGAGTTTCCTGGTGTTTGTTCCTGTCTGTTTTCTGGTGTGTGCAGAACACAGCGTTGGAAGAGATCAGCAAAAATGATGGGTAAGGACTGTCTTGAAAGGGTTGAGAGATTATGTTCATCACTCAGTAAATTATTGTAGGCTTCATTCAGCTCTGGTTACAAGGTGCTTTTCTTGTCCTGACAAAGTGATGAAGCTCGTCTTGTGAACCAGTTTGGATTGGTTTTGGATGAAATGATTGCAGTAATACACATGCTGTTTCTATTACTCTCTTCTAATTTTTATCAAGCCTCCTTTACTTGAGGAAACACAAATCAAATACATTCACTACTAGCCAGCTTCTACCTTTTTGGTTGATTTGGCCTTTAGAACCTAGTATCAACCATGTGAAGCAAGTTGGGTTTTCCCTTTTAATCTATCAGATACCTTTAGCAATAGTTGAATGAATAATCTTACTGTGTAATCTCCTGGTCATACTTGTATTCTATCCAATGCTTGTATTCTGCCTGGTTCTGTGGGTCACAGGACTCCTAATTGAACTGTCAGACTTGTTTGAAAAAGGCATCAGTGTTTTCTGTAAGAGGGAGTTTTTAATGGCCATTTTGCAATTTTCTGATTTTTTTATAAACAGAAGTATTAAAGTACTAAGGCATTCATATAGGTGTGGATGGTAAGTCAGCACATCATCGAGTTCTTTTGTTTTCAGTACTGGGTTTTTTGGGTTCTCTGTGGGTTTCTTTCACTTTAAAAACATGGGGACACATTCAACACCTGTGGCCAGAGCCTTGCATAACACGGGTCGACTCCTGACGAGGTGAGGAATCCATCTTAGAGCAGATGCCCGAGCCCAGCATTGCATTATCTCCATCGCAAAGATAACAAACATTAAAATTCTAGAGTCTGGTGGCCAAATGGCACACCACCAAACACGATATATTTTCTTTTCCCCGAGTGGTGAATCATGTTAGATAATTCATGATGCAAACTGTTGTTATTTCTAGAGTATGTGAGCCTCTGATGGCATAGCAGATTTTCTTACCTCTGTAGGCTGGATGAACGAACTTTGAGAGCAGCAAAACCTGCCAGTAGCTTCTCTGCAGTAGATGAGCTGATACGTCTTTGCCTGTATCGTTTTCCTCCCCAGCGTGGCTGAAGTGCTTATGTGCTGTGCTTTTTGCCTTTTCGTGAGGAAGAAGCAGGATTGCAAAGATAATGGGGGAAGGCACTGGAGCATTCATGGCAGTAATTTCTAAGAGCTGGAGATAAATAAGCAGGCAAAGTTGAGGACTTATCTGGGTGGGGGTATTAGCATTTTGAATTCTTTCTGCACAGATGCAGTTATCACTTAATTGACTTTACCTTGGGGAACACTAGGGAAGCACTTCGCAGCCTAAAGAAAAAGCTTCTGCACGTCGTCAGTAATGGTTCGTTTGTGCTGCACAAGGAACTCGGGCTGGTTTAGTCCCGATGTCATCAACAGGGAAGGAAAAGCTTCTCTCGGCGCTGCCGCCCGCCAGCTGGGTTGTGAGGGCCGGCACCTTCCCTTGCTCTGCGCTGTGATCTCCTCCGTGAGCTGGGTCCCGGCTGAGGGAGCGGGGCCTGTGCCCTGCAGAGCCCACAGCCCCAGCCCGGCCCTGTGCCCTGCAGGGCCCACAGCCCCAGCCCGGCCCTGTGCTCTGCAGGGCCCACAGCCCCAGCCCGGCCCTGAGCTCTGCGGAGCCCACAGCCCCAGCCCGGCCCTGGCCCTGAGTGCAGCGGCCGCAGCAGCTCCCCCTCAGCGGAGCCCGGCAGGCGGGGCTGCGGCGGCCGGGCCCGGCTCTGCCCGGGGTCTGTCCGGGGTCTGTGCCCCTGCCCGCCGCCCTGTCTGCGAGCGGGGCCTGCTCGCCTGCCCTGCCGGGGAGTTCTGAGGCCAGCGGAGAACGGGGCGTTCGGGGCTGCAGCGATTTGTGCGACCAGCGGGGCTGTAATGGATGGCACTGCGGGAGGCAGCGATGACAGCGGGCCCGTCCCGCTGCCCACCCCGCTGCTCCCCCGGCCCCTCAGCGCAGGCACGGCCACCCTGCCCTGCCCTGTCCCTGCTCCTGCCCCTGCACCTGCTCCTGCCCCTGCCCTGTCCCTGTCCCTGTCCCTGCCCCTGCCCTGCCCTTGCCCTCCTCCGGGCCCGGGGGAGAACGGCGAGCGCAGGAACCAGGAGGAGACCCTCTTTGTTCTCGCTTTTCACTCCTCCGTCGGCAACAAAGAAGGTGGTTTTGAATTTTAAAGGAGTTTCGTGGGCAAACAGTTGCCCGTGTGGCGTTCAGAGCCTGCAGCCAGCCCTGTCCCTGCCTGGTTTGCAGCGAGCTGCTCTCCTGCAGGCGGGCCTGTGCCTCTGTAACCCGGAGAGGGAGTTCTCACCAAGGCCATTAATAGACCGGGATGGGTGTTTGGTGCCTGAGCACCTTCAGCTTCTCACCCTGATTTGCTGAAGATTGTCGGAGTTGCACTGACAACGTCAGTGACACCCTCAATTGAATGGGGTCTTTTTCAGTAGAATAGTTACTTGGTTAGCTTGTAGTCATTATTTTAAATTTTGCTATCTAAGCATGTTAAGGTTTTATTGGTATTATTCCTTCAACAGCAATATTGGTTACTCCAGGCATTGTTTAAAAGCTTATTTTTTTGCAATTCTTAAAGAGAGATTTGGCTTAGAGCAAAATCAGTAAGGGAAAAAGAATTAGGAAATCAAACCCTTCCTTTCCCTTTTTGAACCTCTTGGTTTTCCAACCTCAAATAAGTACGTGAAAGGGGTTTAACAACTTTAAATTGGATTTTGGAATGTCAGATGACTCTAATAGCCTTTGTACACAAATAACAACAGAAGAGCTGATTATTGTTTCTGGGCTCTGTGATGCACTTACGTAATCATTAATCTTGGCACTTCTTTATCTGCAGCAGATTAGGAGGCCACTGTCATTTTGAAGACTGCCATTAAGTAGACTTTGTTAGTGTTTAAATATGTGAAGCTTAACTTTAAGCTTCCTTAATGTATGCAGTGGAGGTATCCTGTGGTACAGCGCTGCAATCGAGCTGTTGTAGTGAGTCTCAGTCACATATCTGCTGCCACAGTCTGACCTCAGACACGGGTTTATGTACAATGTTTGCTAATCAGCCTCTGAAGACACTCTGAAAGCTTTTTAAGCGTAAAGCATTAATATATCTGTTTGAAACAGCGACCAAACTTGCTTTATCTACTACCTTTCAGTTGGTTTAATCACCAAGAGGCAGGAAATTAAATGCTGTGAAATGAGTAGACAGAAGGGGTTTTAATGAAGGTCGTAGCACCTAATCTGATTGTGGCGAAGGAAGAGCTTTTGCTAGACCTTTTCTTTTCACAAGCTTGTAATTCTCTAAAACGTTTTTGTGGGCACCTTATGTTTTTTTCTTTCATGATCCTTGTCATGAAATGAAGAAGGTTTTCAAACACTGAGTGTGGTGTATATAGACATCATGAGGGTATAAAGAAGCACAAAAGCAGAGCCAAGTCTGGGGAAACAGCGTGAGCGTGGTTAGTGGGGGACATCACTGTAATGTATGGTTTGAAGAACACGTTTGGGAAAAAAGCTTTCTCTGTGGCAGGAGTGTTTTTGAGGCTGTTTGATAGAACTGATGGTGCATTTATTTTGCTGTAAGCCAGAACCCATAAAACTTCCATCTCCTCTGATACCATCCTGCACGTTCTCCCTCCTGGTGCAGTTTTTGGGGCCAGGCCGTAGTGTTTTCCTCCTGTGCCCTTTTCCAGGGAACAGCTGAGGGAGAAGTGCATGCCTGGCTGCAGACAGGCAGAGCTGCCCTCCTGTGGCTTCTCCATCGTCCCTGGCCAGTCAGGTGACCCCGAGCTGAAGGACCATCGGGTACCTCTGTGCAAGTCCAGAAAGTACCACAAAGGCTACCAAGGAGTTCTGTGACCTGTCCAGGCAGTTGCTGCAGAAGCGATGTAACCTTCCTTTTGATCCCACGTGTACACTAATACTGTTCCCTCTGAGATGGGGCAGGGGCTAAATGAGGTGTCTTTCCTGGGGAGGAAAACACGGATATTTGTTCAGCAGAGGTTTGGGCCTGCATCATAAAAAAACGCTGTAAGCTTTTGCTGATGTCTGTCCTTGCTAGTGTCTTAATATATATCAGGAAACATTTATCAGCTGTAAATAATTTCTTGGGTTTTGGACTGTAGTGCTATTTTCATCGAAATGGAGGGACCCTAGATATGGTTAATGTGTTTTATGCTCCCCTTCCAAACCCCAGGGGAATAGGTGAGGCTGCACTGGCTGAGGATGTGGCTTCCCCTGGTGTCCCTCGGCTTCATTAATCCTCTGATGACCTCTGCTGAGGACTCCTGAAGAGGAGCTGGGCGAAAACAACACACATGCCTGAAATAGTGGCAGTGGAAAGCATCCGTGGATTAAAACCAAGTGACCCTGTGCCAGCCAGAAAGATTCAGAATACAGACTCCAGAGAACCTCGTGTGTGAGGGAACCTGGTGGTGATTTGCTTGTAATGGCCATAAATCACAAAAGGAGTTGCAGAATTCATGCTCAGTATTGGCTGCCATGTGAATCCAGGCAGGAGGTGTTGGAGGGAGTTAATAAATGAGTGAGTGCAGCTAAAAGGCTTTTTACTGTTTAGAGTTCTCAAGTTGGTTTTGGTTGTTATTGTTCATCTCTTAGATGAATCATCTGAAAATGAAAATTTAAACTAGACTATTTAGAGTGTACCTTTGTGAGAAGCTAATGATTCTACTTGGCATACAGCATCAAAGGAAGCCTTTTTAATGACATCAAATTCATGTACAGCCAAAAAGAAAATATCTTAAAAATGCAGATGTAGTCACTTCAGAATGATGGATGAAAGTCTGGGTGAAACACTTTTTTGGTTTTTTTTCCCCTGCAACTTTTTCTTCTAGAAATAAATTCAGGTTTTGAGTGGTTTTTCATCGAAGTGCAACTCTCTTGGAAGGACATGGCATCTGCACCAGCCTGGCTCTAACTTAATTGTGCAGAGCCCCATTTCTCAATGCACAGCAACACATCCTGCGATCTCTGCCAAGGACAGACCCTTTATAAAATGTGGGCAGCATGGCAAAAACAGCAGGAGAAGCTGAATCGTGACAAACACTTGGTTTAAGGGGCCTTACTGGGTTCCCCCTACTTGGTTACCTCTTCTGAGTTCATTCCATGTTCCTTTCTCCAGACTGACTCGCTCCCTCTGGGGCAATAACTCTCCAAGTGGAGCTTGGCTGACTGGAAAGGGCCAGGGAAAGGTGTGCATGGTGATGGAGAAGGTGTGGTGGTGAGGAGCTCTGATCAGAGACCACTTCAGGGGTGTGTGAGGCATGGGCAGCGCTGGGCTGGAACGGGCCACGAGCAGAAGGAATGAAGCTGTGTGTGACCCACAGTCGGTTCACTGACCTCGTGTCCCTTTGGCACCGGGGCCTGTCACCTCGCTAATGAATGAAGTTACATTGTTAATAACTTTGACACTATGTTGCAAGTGATTGGTTTTCCCAGGTCTGTGTGTTTGGGTGGGTTTTGTTGTTTGTTTTGGGGTTTTATCACTAGTACCTGTGGGTACTTTGGAATAGGGACTAAAATGATTGCCTTCAGAGTGTTGATAATTTCAGATTGTTTGCAGCCTATGAAAAATACTTGAAATGAAGGCTGTTGAGCTGTGGTAGCTGTGGCTGACTTGCTGAAGTGGTGCATAAAATTGACAAGTGGTTGATAAGATCTTCTTTGTTTTCCTACTGCAAGCAAATAAACAGAAATGTGAGATGTTGCCCTAAGCCAGTACAATTAATTAGGGAAAAGAAGGTGGGAGGGCAGTGTTGGAGTCTACAAATGCCAGTCTTCAGAAGACAGTGTCCAACACCTGAGAGTAGCAAACTTCATATCAAATGGGGGTTCTGTGCATTAGTCTGTGAAGCAAATGTCAGAGGTAATTTGGATTTTCACTCCAAAATGCTATGTTTCTACAAGACTTTATTTATTATAACCAATTCTATATTAGTTTCTTCCAGAGATTTAGGAAATGGGACAGAAGTATAAATACATTTAAACTTTTCAGTACAGGTTTCTTTCTGGAGGAAAGGGGGAGAATGCATTTAGTATTGCCCAGCTTACTCCAGCAAATAAATGAATTATGTTCTCCTGCAGATTTCACTTTTTCTTCCTCTCCACTACTAGTACAGAATGAAAGACCAGCTTCAGGAAGGAGAAACTGGTGTAGATTTACTTTTCCCAATGTAAGAGAAAAATAAGTTGCAAGGACTACGAGAACCTCGGTGTGATTGAATGTACAAGGGCACTTGCACTGCCTCAAGGTGCTCACACATCTTGGCCCACTAGCTCGTTTTTTCCTGTGACAGTGTGCAGTGGTTGGTTTTAGCAGCCCAGGGTAGGTTTGATCATGGCAGAATTGTGTTTGTACCCCTGCTGCAGGTGTTCCTCTTCACAAATGCTCAGGGTTAGTGGTTATCTGTAGGAAAAATTAGGGATGTCAAAGCCTGAGCGAACTCCAGAACTCTGTAAAAACATACGTCAGGGAGGCACATAAACCCCACTTGCTGCTTGGGAAGAAATGCAGGAGCAAA